GCATCGGAACAACCAGACGTATGGGTGGTTTTGCAACGTGTGGTCAGTATAAGACCTTCAAAGTTCCAAGCCTAGAAAATAGCTATTCAGCGCACATGCAGGATATGATTGACGATCTCTCAAAGACTATCTATCCTCCTGCAGAGTGATGACCCCTGTCAATGCTATTAATATTCTCCCAGACGCGTTTCCATACTTCTCCACCACCACGTCCAGATTCCACTCCGTGGTTAAATGATGAAATCTTAGGAAGATGAATTTGCAGTGAAAAAGGAGACCCATCAAATTGTGGTCCGAAAAGTCACCAAAAAACAAATGTCAAAATGTTCCGAAACCGAGAATCGAACTCGGGGCTATGCCTGACCTCGCAAATTAATGAGAGGGCATCATGTTGGCCACTACACCATATCGGATTGACAAGCTGGGCCCAAAATATTGTAGATCAAGACCGGGCCGAGCGCAACACTACCGACCCGCCTCCCTGGAGAAGGCAATAGCACGACGCCAAAGACAAATAAGAAATGCAATCACGTACCAAAAACTTTGATGTAACACTTAACTGGATTTCCAAATTGCGGATGTTGAGATAAGCCCATGCACGCAACATGTTCAATGATGGAATCGCCGACATTACGATGGGCTTCGGCAATACCCGCAGTGGATTGTGACCACTCTGGAAGCTCTAGGTCAAGGTACAGCAAAGCTCACCAGACTCCAGAGAATGGCGTTGGTGTTTGACACGCCTCATTTCGTTTGCTGGATATTTCTTCATCTTTCGTTCCTTTCTTGGGTGGGTAATATGACAGTAAGAGCCAAGGGGTGTAAAATGGACAAGATGATCTTTCTCGTCAGAGAACCGTCAAGGTCAGTGACGACAAGATGCATGCGCAGCGCCTCCAGCCACTTGAATGAAAGCATGTCATGGCCTGTCAAGTACCGCGTAATAGGAGAGTGGGAGGCGTAATAAAGGGGCTACTGCTAAGGTATGGTCGAAAGAATACCAGACGCGGAGTCAACGATGGGGAATCGACATCTGAGAGGCCGCACATACGGCTTGAAACGGCAGGTCTGGAAGCAAAAAATGGGGACGTCAAAGGCAGCTTGAGCTTGAGCCAGGCTTGTGACTTTCATTCTGGTTACACAGGGCCCGGGCTGTCTGAAATGGAATCGCAGTGAAAGCAGCCCGGCGGCCATAAGGTACAGGCGAGACAGCTGCTGGTAAAGGGATCGGTCAGGTCTTGGGCACTGCCTAAGCCAGTGGCTGTAGCGAGCTTGATCAGCACCTAGAAACCAAGGTAGCCACTGACAGAAGAGCTCAACGAAGTTGCGTGGACGAATGTACATACCTAGGTACCTTACCTCAGTAAAGACTGAGTGAGGGGCAGTTGCGGGCGGACGGGGAAGGCCCACTGAAAGCGCCCTGAAATTCCGCGGGAGGGCGTCCCCATGATGACATGGCCGAAACCAGGGACCCAGGGTGGACTGTGTGAGTGTGTGTGTGGCCCAGTGCGGCCAGTCAGAGAAGACGCTGGGAGCTGCACAGAATCGCAACCGAAGCGGCTTGGAAGGGTGGAAGCTGAAGCCCGGACACTTCGGGCTGCAGGGAAGGGAAGCGGCAGCGGACCACAAGATGATCTGTGCGCCTTCTAGAACTCTTCGACGGCCGTGAATGGCCGGCCGGGGCAGCAAGGCCCCTCAAAAGCTAGGACCCAACACCACCTGGGGCCCATCCATCACCTCGAGCCTGATGCTGTTGCTGATGCTGGCTGTTTTGTAATGTCCAGTTGCTGCATGCCCGCTGCATGCTGGTTCTCCTGCTCCTGCGGATTGGATGCCACAGCTAGGTACCTTAATGTGAAGACAGCGAAGGCGGGAAAGTGGAGGGGGGGAAGGGAACGAAGAAATGCGAGAAGGCGGAGGAGGGGAGGATAGGAGCGCCTTCCGCTCTTTCTCTCTTTTTTTTTTGTGCCCTTCCCCATCCCTACCCTGTCTCCTGAAAGGTAGCCAGGTTCCCAAATGTTACCTGTGCTCCGTGCTTTGGTGCTGAGATTGAGATTTGACTGGAAGCAGCCAACGTGGATGCGCCCTCCTCATTCTGTATTCGTAGTGTCTCCTGGCTCCTCCACTGTCTGTCTGCCTCCGTGCCTCTGCTGGCAGTGGTAACAAGCGTGGCCACCCCACCTCACCCCCGTCCCAGTGCAATCCCCAAACCGAACCCAAAAAGCTTCCCTTCCCTTGGCCTTCCGTTTCCTACACTCCCCCATTTCGTGCTCCCATCCGCCTGCTCGTCACCGTCGCCCTTTTCTTTCCTCTGCCAACTGCCCTCGATCCAGACAAGACACGCTTGTGAGGCATTCTTGTGGCCTCATCAATTCGTACCGTCTCGCACCCGGACAACAGCACCAGAACTGGAAACCCAGGAGAACAGAAAGCGGCGCCCACTTGCCACGCCCCTCCCCTCCCCCTCCTCAACTTCGGTACCTACCTACCTACCTACCTACCTTGACATACCTTACCTACTAGCCGCATCCTGCTGTTGCGGACCCACGACGTGACCTCCTCCTGTCTTCTTCTTCTCTCTATTACTGCTCCCCTCCCCTCTCTCTTCAATCTTTAAACAGCCATCCATCCCTTTTGCCTACCGGAAGCTCGTCTTGCTTGTCCTTGTCTATACTTCTCCATCCCCGGTCCGGTCGACGACGACAGCTGCACGCCTCAACATCTGTGGGTTATATCAACATTGCTGCTGTTGAGCTTGCGCCTCAATCCACCGTCTCCCGCTAGCTAGCTTCGTTGGCTACACCTTTGGTAAGTGGAAGCTCCCTTCGACCATCAGGCCGACTTTAGCCCAGATTCGATAGTTCCAGCATCATCTCCTCTCATGTTTCCCATGTGTCTTCTTCAACAGCCGCATACATCCCAAGATTGCTGTGCTCCCATGTCACCGCCCCCTGTTTTCCCTGCTCCCGACCTGCAGTTCGTCACTGTTGCTGCCGATTGAAAGGCATCGCATTTGGACTGTTGCCACTGCCCTGCGTCACCCCTGCACAGCCAATTGTCCCTACCGATTTGCGTCAGTGCATCTCGAACCTCATGACCTAGTTGGCCAGGGAGTTGGAATCTGCTCGGGTGCTGGAGCCTGAGACCCAGCAGACGAGGCACCGAACGCACCAATTCCGTCGTGCTCACAACCCCAACAATCTTGCAACATTCTTTGTCCATCTGCCTGATGACCTCAGAGAGCAGGGCAACCGTTTACCATTCCATCTGCTGGTGTCCAAAATAGCTAACCATACATCAGAGCTTCCCATCAACACACTATCACCGATTCCCCCTCTCAATATCCACACCCGCTGCGCCGACTTGCCTACCTACTTGCGCCAGATTGCACCGAGACGTTAAAGGCACCGAAGCGAGACGAAGTTCCCATCGATTGTCATTGCTCACAAGTCGCCCAACATGTTCAAGAGTCCTTTTGGTGCAAATGCCAATCCATTTGGCGGCGCCAGTGACGGCCCTACCGGTGGCAACGCTATCCACCGTGTTATCGAGGAGGAAGAGAATGATACGGTCACGTCTCCCACATCACCGAACTTCGGCATGAACGCTGGCACCACATTCAGCGGTCCTTTTGGCGGCGACGCCACGGACGATGCTCCGCCTTCTGCGCTTAGAAGCCCGCCGAATCCCGAAAGCTACCCTGCCCAGTACAACTTTGGCCGCCGTACCTCGGTTTCCGCTGAGTCTCTGAAACCCAGTGCCGATTCATACGATAACTGGTCTCCTCCCGTCCACGAGAAGAACAAGGAGCAACTGGATCGTCTCACAACTGCCATCGCAGGCAACTTTTTGTTCAGCCATCTGGACGATGAGCAGAGTTCTCAGATTCTGGGAGCATTGATCGAGAAACCTATCCCGGCCAAAGGTATCAAGGTAAGAAGATCACTTCCACCACATCACTTTGTTGCACATGTACGGTACCTAACGTAGTACAACAGGTAATTAGCCAAGGTGACGCTGGTGACTTCTTCTACGTTGTGGAGAAGGGATCTTTCGACGTGTACGTCAACAGCAGTGGAACTCTGCAACCTGGCCCCGAGGGCATGGGCCAAAAAGTCGGAACGATCCAGGCCGGAGGCTCGTTTGGTGAACTGGCTCTTATGTACAACGCTCCTCGAGCTGCAACGGTTACTTCCGCCGAGTCTGGATGCACCCTGTGGGCGCTCGACCGACTCACATTCCGCCGCATTCTTATGGAGTCGACGTTTGCGCGCCGTCGCATGTATGAGAGTTTCCTCGAGGAAGTGCCGTTGCTGCAATCCCTCACGCCGTATGAGCGATCCAAGATTGCCGACGCGTTGGAAACCCAAAAATACACTCCTGGCGAAACTATCATCAAGGAAGGCGACCCGGGCCACTCGTTCTACCTGCTGGAGAGTGGTGAGGCCGATGCTTACATTGGCGACAGCAAGGAAGCTGTCAAGCACTACAGCAAGGGAGATTTCTTTGGTGAGCTTGCACTCTTGAATGACGCCCCCCGCGCCGCTAGTATCGTCGCGACGACGGATGTCAAGGTCGCTAGCCTCGGCAAGTCTGCCTTCCAGAGACTTCTTGGCCCCGTCGAAGGCATCATGAGGCGAACAAAGTACGAGAGCGTGAAGACGGGTGTCGAAGAGATGGATCCGCTGCAAGCGGCTTAAATGGAGTGGTTGTGCGTTTCGTTGAAGATTGGATGGCGGCTTTGGAAAGGTTGACGGTAAATGTGAAGGTTCACAACGGCGTTAGTGGGACACCTACCTTCGCTTCCTAAGAACATGGCTAGTAGTGAAGTCCAGATACCTGCTAGTCAAGAGTATTTTATTCATGGCATTGTTTAATTGGTTTTGAAGGACGGAGTTCCGGTGGTATCATTGATCTAGATGGACCTTGTTATTACAGATAAGCGTGAATGACATCAATCGTGAGGCAAGCAGGAGGACACCCGCCAAGGCAATTCAACCTCAGCCCCTTGTTCTCATTTCCTCCAAAACCTCCCTTCTCAGCTGTTCGACAGCAATTTCTGTCTCCAGTGTCCTTCCGACACCCTTCTTCCAGGTCTCCTCCAATCCCTTCATCTCAGCCGCAACCTCTTCTTGTTGCCTCCTCCTGGCAACAGTCAAAATATCGATTTGACGCTTGGTCTCGGAAAGATCCCGTTCCATAGCCTTGAGCTCGTTCTCAAGGCCCCAATTGCCGATCAGCCACGCATTTTTGCCATATTTGTCCAGCAGACCCAGGTTCTGAGCCCGACCATCGAGGTAAGCGTAGGAGGTGTATGCCTTGCGCAGCGAGTCGGCGAGGCGCTCGCGATCCTCTGCTGTCTTTGGCTGCCCAGAGTCTGGAAAGGGCTCTTGTGTCTGGTACCTTTCGAGGTCGATGACTTTGAGGGGCTGTTTTGACGCGACGCGCTCGAGTTCGGCTTCGATAAGGGGGGAGAAGGTAGGCTCTTTGTAAGCTGGGGCCGGAGCTGGGGAAGAGGTAGCCAGCTCGGCTCGGATCAACGACTCGGCAGCTTCGCGCTCAGCGGGCGTGGGCTCGTCATCAATGTCTGCGGGCGTTGACAGGTTAGCTGGATGGCGCAGGCACGGCAGATGGGAGATCAGCAGACGTACACGGGAGGGACTCGTGGAAGGCGTTTAGCGCGCTCATTGTGTTGCGGGATGACGTGAGCCGTCAGAAGGGGTCTTCGGGATGGTTTTCTGGGCAAATTGACAGTTTTGGGCGTCGAAAGACTGGTTGAGGGGAAGGAGGTGAAACGTGGTATTTCGAGTCCAGGTTGCCGACGTCGACCCGGTGTCGCCTGGCAGCGACCGCGATCTGGTGCTATTTCAGAAATTTGGGACATGGACGCACGAGCCCGCCCGATAAGGAGATAAGTCGGCTACAAGAAACCAGGCCCGTGCTGGAGGAACTCCTGTGCACGGGCCACACGCGGTCGATCACTGGTCTGGGGTCCTGGTCCACTCCTCCTGCACTTCAAAATACGCTCAAGCTTGAAGGCAAACCATCCTTCGCCGCACCTAAAGCTAGCGGACTTTGGGAAGACATCCCCTGACAGCCATGTGTATGTGCGCGTGCGCCGTGCTCAACAGATGAAGTGCGCGCAGAAATCAACCGACAACAACCCTTGACAGCGATCGATGATGGGACGACGGGACCTGACGTGCATGCAGGACACCTGCTTGGGTCGTTTAGCTGAAGATGGGCTCGTGGATGGCCGGCCCCACCGTGTCTTTCTTTTTCTGATGTCTTCAGCATGGCGCCTTTCCTTCCTGGTGACGTACTCCTTTTTGATGCAAGAGCTAAATCTCACACTTGTGCGATGAAACCTGGAATTCCTTTGACGATTTGGAGTCGCCGAGAGACCATCATGAGGGCACTTCGGGAGTCGGCCCATGAGGCGGTTTTCATGCGCCTTCACTCCTTCTAGGCACTTTCCATCTTCAGAAATCCAGAGCTCGGGAGTTGTTCTCGCATACCTTACTTCTTTCTGCTTCCATCTCTAGAAGGCAAGTCCGTCAGCGCCCGTTTTCCAGATTTTCTGGATGGGCTGCATTTCCACCGCGTGGGAAACTATCAAGTCACCGTCGTATTCCCTGCCACACCTCGCATCCTTGGTCTGCGATGATGGAGGATGGTTCTCCAGTCGAACCCGATCGAGGCCAATGGCATCCGTCAATCCAACCCGGGAGCTCAAAGCTCGTCGTAGCCGAGCAACATTCCCATTCCGGCGCTTGGTATTTGTTGCATGGACGGATCAGACGGATGGCCTCCCGGAATGCAACTCTGGGGGATCCCCACGGCCTGGAGCGATCCAGGACGGCAATACGTCTTCCGCCTGTCAGTGGTTCAACTACCCCAAGCTATTAGGACCGGTGCTCCATCCGTGCCTCGCCCCAGCCGGCCTATGGACAAGTTTGGGCTGCCATCGGCCATACCGGAAGCAGTGGCCCGACTGCGCTCTGTTCGCGATTCAGCGTTGATCTTGACCCTCTCATCGCGAATCCACCACGTGAGGGGGCTAGAGGCCGGCAGCGCCTTTGGCGCTCGTGTGGCGTCCTCCTGGGCTGAACTATCGCAAACGGCATATACAATTCCATCCTGCTCAGGGTTGATTGAAAGGAGGTCGCGCCGCGACTCGTGGAGGATGAGCCATTGCTACATGGCGACCACTTAAATGTCGCCGGTCCGTAGCCTGGGCTGGGCCACATCCGTACCCCCTTTCTTCTACATGTTGACGTTTCTTATCCCCGCGAACGGTTCGGAAAAGCTCATGGGATTTAACGGCCTCGATGATGCTTATGCTTGTTCTTTTTTAACCAAGCAGATACCCCCAAGGACCTCGGACTCTTGAGGCTCCTGTCACGACGGCGCACGACACGGTTGGGGAATTGATCGATTTGAACCCAGATCGGACGATACCATGAAGTCTTCACACTCCTTCGCTTTTGTGGTGTCAGTTATCCTGGCTATCACAGTACCTTTCGCTTCGGCCCAGAAGGCTGGTAGCATCACCGATGCTGTTGCTCAACTCCCAACATGTGCGGTAAGTCTGCCCGATACCTACCTGTCTCCATCGCAACTCACTCATATGTCTCTAGGTTACATGTATCTTGTCAGCAATCAAGGACTCGCCTTGCGGTCTAACCAATGCAACATGTATCTGCAATGATTCAAAGTTCGAGACTACAACCGAGACCTGCATTGTGGGAGCCTGCCCCATCAAGGACACCCTTCGTCAGTCTGCCATCGCAACCCAGAGGCACACGAGCACATACTTACAAGTCCACAGATGCCAAAAATGTCTTCGAGGTCACCTGTGACAGGCCTGTCAGGGACCACAGCCCCGAATATGCACGGTTGACATGGACTATGCTTGGTCTTTCGATCATCGTCGTCTTTGCCCGGTTGATATATAAGTTCTTCTCGTCGGCACAATTAGGCTGGGATGACTTATTCACACTGCTCGCCTTCCTCGCCGTCCTCCCATCCTTCATCATCAACCTTGTGGGACTCATCCCCGCGGGTCTCGGCAAGGACATCTGGACCCTGACACCGGATCAAATCGAGAAATTTGGTTTCTGGTTCTACCTACTCGAGCCCATGTACTTCATCCAGATGGGCTTGGTCAAAATGGCCATCCTGTTCTTTTACATGCGTATCTTCGATCGAGCTGGCCTTGCGCGTCTACTTTGGGGTACCGTTGCTTTTAACGCTGTCAACACGTTCGTGTTTCTGATGGTTGGCATTTTTCAATGCACCCCCATCCACTACTATTGGCAGAGATGGGACGGCGAACACCAGGGGACGTGTATCAACATCAACGCCGTTCCCTGGGCAAACGCCGTCATCAGTATCCTCCTCGATCTATGGATGCTTGTTCTTCCTCTTTCCAGAATCAGAACTCTCAACCTACACTGGTGGAAGAAGCTGGCTGTGGGTATGATGTTTTGCGTTGGTACTTTGTAAGTTCCCTCGTGAACTCCCCGTCTCAGAAGTCTGAGGCTAACAAAACCTACAGCGTGACCATTGTGAGCATTTTGCGGCTGCGCTCGCTCGTTCAGTTCGCAACGTCTCAAAACCCAACCTGGGATCAATTTGACATTGCGTTCTGGACAACACTTGAGGTCCCCACCGGCATCATCTGCTGCTGTCTACCCGCCATTCGTCTCATTCTCATCAAGACTTTCCCGAGACTGTTTGGCATGCTCACGAAACGCTACGACTCCCACAAGTACTCGGAAGACCCCTCTAGCGGAAATAACCCGAGCAAAAGCCGCAGTCGCAACCGCATGTCTCAGGGCCCTAACACGGAGTCTTCGTCGACGACTGAGCTACAAGCCGCCATACGCAACGGCAAGGGCATCGTTTGCAGCAAGTCATTTGCTCTCGAGACCCACGACTCAAACAGCATATACGCCATGCAGGACCTCGAGTCCGGGAGCGCCAAGAACAGCATCGCGGCACAAAGCCACAGATCAACGTCAATCTCCCACACGTCTAGCGCCATGTCGGATTACGGTGGTCCCGGACGCAAGCAGTCTGGTCCTTCGTCAAGGGATTAAGCTCCAACGCTACGCTTCACAAATGTACACACAAATTCAGCGTTTGTACATACGACACTACAACTCCGCATGATACGCAGCCGCCTTTGGGCAGCAACATGTTGTAGGCACATGAGGGTTTCTTGTGTCTTGTCTTTTGTCTCTTGTCTCTGGTATGAGATGCTGTACGATGAGTATTTCCCGCGAACTGATAGAAGAAACGGCCTCGGCGTTGGGAGTTATTTTCTTTCCGGTGGGTTTTCCTTTGTTAGACATACCCGAGGGAATCATGGAGTCGTTGGTCTAGCACACGATCAGAGAAGGCATTCGATTGTTCCTCGGCCTGACGGGGAGGGCGGCCGCCGGTGTGGCCGTACCCTGTCGGCCGTTAAAAAGTGCACTGGTAGTCAGCCACCAGTACCAGTGTAATAGAAGATAGAGCATATAACACATCCGGAAAATCACACGAGACACAAAGTTCCAAATCATGTCCGTTTAACCGTTTGCTCTTTGTCATTCCGAAAATCGTGTGCATGCGGTGATGTCTCTCCACCTCGCTTCCGCCGCCGCTTGAGACAAGATGCCCGATGCGGTGCCGAGAACGCCACGTCCAAGATTGGATATTTTCGCCATGGCCGATCATCCTTCCACCGGTGTCCATCGGATCCGAGCCTTTGGGAAGCTATTTGAGTGGGGGTAATGCCTTGCTTGCTTCTAACGGCATAGCTTGTGTCGTTGAATCAAATCGGACTGTGACTATCTCCTTGAGCCCCGAGACATGTCCCTTTTAGTTCCCGCCAGGGGCAGCCAGTCAGACCTTGCGCTCAGGCTCCGCAGTACATCGCAAAAAGACACTTGTGGCGTGTGAGATGGCTGTAGAGGCGTCCAATCGATATATTGTATTAAACTGCCGATCCTGCCTAACCCGGGCTAGCCCTGCTTGGCCCCCTCTCTGGCATGCCAGGCATCCCAGCACTCTCGCTTATGAAGTGCTACGCTGTATGCCCTGCACTCCTAGTCACTTCAGTAGGTAGTAGAGGTTGTATTAACTGCCCTCTCGCTAAGCACTTTATGCTTATATACTGAAGAACACTATATATACTACCTCCTCCCTAGTAATGCTGTAGGGGTGTGATTTAGCTAGCTAGAAGGCTTTTTTAGTATGGTTAGAGACCTTTTGTTTATAATTGCTGCTTCTCTATATATAGCTATAATCTCCTCGAAGAGGCGTTATTAAAAACGCCCTTAAGTCTAAGTAAACCTCTTACTACTACTATAATACGTATAGGTATTATACTAAGCCTTATAGAAGGCTAGGTAGGCGTTAGTTATACTAATAGGTAGGTTAAAGTTAAAATTTAGAGCTTAGTAGCTACTATAGTATATATAACGCCTATAGCAGCTATCAGCCTTATACTAATTGCTAATATTAATAGCATTTATATATTAGTTATATATATAATGCAACTAAGGGAAAGGTAGTATCTTTATATATATAACTATAACTTTACCTATAATAGTATTATAGGTCTTAAAGGGTGCTTATAATATATTAATATAGGTTATGCTATTATGAGGCCTCTTATAAAGCCTAAGGAAGGTATATTTAAAGCTGTTAAAGCCTATAGTTGCTATTAAAACTAGGGATCCATCCTTAAAAAGAAGCTAGTAGATTATACTACCCTAGGTTATCTTATAGTAGATAGTACCTTAAGGTATCTTTTTAGCCTTACTATTATAGCTTCTAAGCTTACTAAAGGTAGAGCTAACCCTACTATATTAGGCGTTATATATAGTACTAATAGCAATAATATTCTAGCGCTAGAGGTATTAAAATAAGTTAATAGAAGTAAGTAAGTTATTAATAAAAAGGTAGTATTACTATTAGTAGCTAAGTAGTATTAGTAGTAAGAAGATAAAGTAGGTAATAACTACTCTTATAGAGGTAAGCATTTTAGTCTCTACTAGTAAATATATAAATAGAGGGATTAGTAACTTATTATTTATATACTAAACCTAGCGAAAAAAGTACCTTACTTCCCCTATAACCTATAGTTTAAAGCTAATAGGTATAAGCTTACCCTATATATACTAAATATCAAAATAGCAGCCTTAGTAATAAACTATACTCTTATTAACAGTAATATTAACGCTAGGTAACTATAGCTATATTAATACTACTTATAGCTAGTCACTCTAGTAAGTAACTTTCTTATATATTATAAGGTATATATTATAATGACTCTTAACGTTAAGGTTATAAGTAGTGAAGTAACAATATAGCTATTAAAAACGCTTACGCAAAATCTATTAATTAATAAAGTAGATAAGTTGAAGATCGCTCTTAACTTAGTAGTTACTAAAGGTATGCTCTTAATAGATAGTTATATAGATAAGTATACCTAAAAAGATATATATCTCTACTATATTTATACGCTAAGGCTAATAAGGTACTTAAGTAAGGTTTTTAATTACTTTAGTAGGATTATACTTACGTTAATATATCTCTAACTTCTAGTTAGTCTAATTTACCTACTACTTAGCTATCTACTTAAGCATAAACTTTTGCTATATCTATAGCGTTAAGAGGTTAGGAGGTAAGTATATTTTACATTCAAAGAAGTCTAAGAGAAGCTTGCAGTAAGGGGTGCTGTTGAGGTAGGCAGGAGGCTCTTTATCGCGCCAGATACCTAGCAGAGGGCTAGGCAGGCAAGGGTTATACTATACTAACTTATTATCGTATAGGACTGCTAGCTAGGGGTCTAGCAGCAGATTTTGCTTGCTAGGAGGTGGCAGTAGGTAGTTACGCGCCTAGGGCAGCGTGGGCGCGCTAACGTTAATATCGTTAGTTGTAGCGCTCGCAGAGGGTAGTTAATGCAGCTTGTTAACGACCCTGAGGCTGATAGGAACGTGGCGGCGTATAGAGGCGTTAGGATCTTCAAAATCGTCAGCAATATCAAAATCGCTATCGTAATCATCAAATAACTCAATAACCTCATCGTCGCAAATATTATCCATTTTTTAGGGATTTTTCGGGGTTAATTTGATATAGAGTAAGTAGGGGTATCTTTAGTGTCGTAGGCAAGTGGGTGGGGGACTAGGATCGAGGAATAAGGTTGACTTATAGCTGTCGGAAAAAATGGGTAAATATCGACTAGTTTTAGTGGAAGTAGAGGTACTTAAAAAGTACCGTTTTCACTGCAAAACATAAGTATACTGACTAGTGGCGTAGCTTGGCTGGCACGTTAATCCTTTTTTGGGCTTGTAGCTATGGGGGCCGCTAAAAGGGACATGTCTCGGGGCTCAAGGAGATCGTGTGTATCGGTCACCTTTCCCACTTCCCGGGATATGCATTTCTTTGTCCAAGCAATCGACTGAAGTACGAAGACCGAGTTATAGCGGGACTCTAGGATTCAGGGCCAGTCACATTTGGTAGAATACGAGTGAGTAATGGATTACATGTAAAGCGGATAGAAGCCCGAAAACCCCGGATCGGGGCCGGGTGGGATCTTGGTACTATCACGATTTTTGGGTTCATTGTCCAAGAATGGGGGACAAGGCACTAACACACCCGAACTAAGCGCGCGGGAGACCAAGACGGCTGCCTACCACTGATTCTACCTACCTTAGGCAGATCCTTAGATACCCAGGATGATTTCTGTGGCTAATAGAGACGGGATATTGCATCTTGCTGTGCCTTCCAAATTGGGAGAGTGGGAAGGTGCAGCCTAGATGAGATGGGAAGGTGTGGTCGAGGGGCTCTTTCCCCGTCTTGAACTGATGTCCACCACGGCTCTTGCTTTCCAGGGTCCTGTCTAAGAATTATACCAAAGCCTCGCCTCAATCCGCCCAAGTCTTTTCGTCCAACTAAGGTCAATTTCGGAGCGCACTAATCAGCATCTCTCTCTGCTGTCACCTGTATGGTTCAGTGCCGAGGACACCATTCCATGATTGGCAACTTTGGTTCTTGGTGAGCCGCGTTCATCGCCATGTCCGACTTTTCCATACAGGCCTTCTACAAGAAGGAGGTACCCACGTCATCGGTGGTGGCGCCTACCAAGCAACACCCTCAGGATCACGGCTTCACCCAAGCGGAGGTCGAGGCAGGAAACAATCCTCTCGACAGGCACTGGAATCCGTCCGACGAATACCATCAAGTATGCATTGCGAATATACAGCCAGGGCCGGCGCTTATTCGCTTCACTGGCCGCATCGTCAACTATACGCCTGCATTCCTCGACTCCAAGAACACGTATACTCGGCCAGCACACCAGCTCATTGTCAAAGATGACACAGGTGCCATCGCAGTTCGTTCCCAAGTACTCTCTGCTATTGTTTGACGTCTAGCCTGACCGTCTCTTCTAGGTTAAACTTGTACCCATTGGTATCCCTGTTTCTCTTCTCCTATTCGGACAGCTTGTCACAGTATGGGCAAGCTGGACGGGAACCTCAGCCAATTCGAACCAGGGAAACATCCCCTTCGTCACCATGTATACTCCCATCAACCCAGCGGACGTTGGTACCAAGCAGTTCATACAATTCATCACAGACACCCCCACGACACAGAACATTGCTCGGGTGCCCCTGGACTACGAGCGTGATGATCCAAACGCCAGACCGCTCCCCAACCTGATGACACTCGGCCAATACCTCAAAACAGGTCATGACACAGCTGCTGCGGTTCGCCTGATCGTCTGCGTCAAGAGCATTGGATCTCGCAAGCGCGTCACGATAAATGACCGCAGAGAAGCGGAGCTAGTCGAGGTCACTGTATGGGATGACACAGCAAGCTGTGCGCTGACGCTATGGGATGACAAGGCGAACTCTGCCAAGCTGTGGAAGCCCAACGATACCATTCTTCTTCTGACGAGTCCCAATTTTAACCCCCTTCGCGAGACGAAGCCTCCCAAGCCAGCAGGTGTCGGCCTCACTTACAACACCCTCATCGACGTAGACCCTGATTTTCCCGATGGCAACTGGCTTCACCAATGGGTGAAGAATAGGGTCAAGAAGGAGTGCATTTGCATTCTTTTCCCTAAGGACGTCTGGAACGCCGAGGTGGCTGTTCACGGGCCCATACGACCGTTGTTCACTCTTTCAGAGGTGGACGAGTTCGCTCGTGCTGATCCGGCGATGGATTTCACGGGCAAGCTGTGCTTGACGGTCTTAGGATTGGATTTGCTTGGACTCTACCGAAGGAAGATGCTCTGCTGCATTGAATGGTGTGTAGCATTCGACGCGCAGCATCACTAACTTGCACGTCATGGGCAGTTGCTAATGCGACCTTTTAGCTGCGGAGTTCCCCTATATGCCAATCACTCGTCCGCAACGTGTAAGAACTGCATGACTGAGAAGACACTCGTACTCAACCCCCGAGTCATGGGTATCCTGGTGGACGAAACGGGGTGCATCGCACAAGGGAAGCTGGTATGGAGTGAGGAGGCTTGGGGCGAGCTCTTCTTCCCCGCCGATGTGAGTACAGCGGTCGCAGCTTCTGTACTTGGAGAAGCAGACAGCCCGGCAGACATCACTTGCCCTTCCCCATCTTCTTCCAAGTGGATGGACATCTTGCAGATGGACACGGCCAGGCTGCGGCTGCTGGAGGAGCAAATGTTGTATGCCCGTTTCACCTTGACCTTCGGCTGGTCCCCTTTCGTCGAGAGACTGTGTGTACTTGGAGTCGAGTGGTGAAGTTTGTCAGTAGGGGAACCAAAAGCGGGGGTTGCAGCTTTGTTTCGTCAGGGTGGTGTAAGGTGCTGCGCCGTCGATGAGGGGTCAGAAGGACAGGACGTAGCTTTCGAAGGTGCAATTTGGCTGGAGATGATGGAAGGTGCGATTGCTCAAATTGGTCCCTTATCTTTGTCGCTTGTGCGGGTTGGGCAGTTTCAACAGAGACATTTGAAGTTCAAAAACAAAAGATCCGCGGTTGAGAGCTCGTCCGTCCAAATTATGGTTAGTTGCTCTTTTCGCAGTCATGGCCATAAACGTTTGACGTCTACTTGTGAACGCCGGCTCCTTTTGGATGAACGCTATTAGGCTCGTGTCTTGAAGTGCTGGCGAGATGGGCTTCAACAAAGATTTTTAGGGCCAGAGTTTGGTACAGGGCATGGATCTATTCATCAGATCATTGGCCATTTGTTTTAATAGTACAAGAGCAACGCTGTTCGTCGCCAGGTCATAAATCTTCGTGATACACGCTTTCATCCGCCGCCGAGGCAGTCAATCGTGAACGAGGAAGCCCCATCTCCCTTCGCTCTCTTCCAGTCTCTCAAAGCAAAGCCACTTATCGCCGATTCCGTTACCGTGAAAATAAAACCCTGAGCAATAACCCCGTCCTCCCATGCTGAATACAATGTGTTTGTGTTGTTGTGGTGATAACTAGTTCCTCGAGAGCGCAAGCTTGAAAAAGGGATGATGAGAACACGACTGCCTGGTGTACAGTGGTATGAGAGGGCTGCAGCACGAAACATTAGGGACGGTGTCCCGATATTAGTGCTTGGTGATCTTCTCATCACCGTAGGAAGAACCGCCGCTCTCAGAGGTCTCCGTCTTGGTCAGGTCCTCGCCATCGTCCTCGTTGGGGCCGTGGATGGACTCCTCGAAGACGGGCTCAGGCTCGTTGACGTCGAACTTTGTCTTGAACGCCGACAGGTTGTCAGCGTAGCCGCTGCTGTTGGTGCGACGCCGCGCATTGGTGAAACGGAAGTCCTCATCGACGACTTCCTCGCCGGCATTGCCCCTGTGAACAGTGAATGTTAGTAAATGAATTCATGGGCAGTCAAGAGTGACAGATTGATGGATTGGGGGGGGTGGCAGTGCTCTGTAGCATTGAAAGTGGTCGTGTGTAAGTGGGGTAGGCAACGCAAAGAGAGGTCCGAACGTACCAGTTACTTCTGCCGCCGCCGTTCTTCTTCACCTTCTTGGGGTCGACACCCTCGTGACCATGCTTCGCAAAATAGCGAGGCAGGTGCTCTTGGGGAGAAGCAGTGCCGTCAGCCAGGGCGGCGTGGTCACGGTCGTTGTACTTGTGAGAACGAGTCACTGCGGGAGACGGTGTTAGTGCCAGTGGCCAGAACAGTTACACGCAGGATGGGGTCAATTGGCATGCCGCCAAAAAACCATTCAATGATGATTGGGGATGGTACTCGATGTGTAGAGACACATCGAAGATGGAATGCTTGGACAGCACGGAGGTGACGGGAGACGTCACGCGAGGGGGATATGGTGCGGGGCAGGGGAGAGCTTCAGAGGGGAGGTGCAAACATACTCTTGAAGGAATTGCTGGTGAGATACGGTTTGTGGATGTGTGTGTGTTACAGGAGAAGATCATGTAGACGGGATTGGGTTGACGGTTAAAGAGCAGATCGTCGATGTTCGCTGGGTGAGATTGCGGTTGAGGTGTTGATGGATTCGAATTGTATCTTGATGGAATTCAGGTGAGATGTGAGGAGGAGGAGGAGGAATTATGTAGACGGAGAGAGCTAAGCAGGATGCTTTTAAAGGACGAAGGCTTGAGAGAAATGGCGGCCTATCAGATCACGCGATCATCAGACAGCTCGTCCAATGGGGGGGATGGACGGCAAGGGGGGAAGGAGGTATCTTCGCAGGAGGTCCGGAAAGGCTGGGTTGACCGGGTTGGCTGGGTCCTTGATGAAAAGGCGGATCGCGTGACTTCGATGCAGATGGGGGCGGACAGCTGCTGCAGCTTGCAAGGGAAGGGGCCACCTTCACGACCTGGACTGCACCGTCCAGACACGGCGCGGGGGGGAGTACTGGGACGGGGGGACGGCCGGCGTGGACTGGCCGTGGTGGAGATGGGCGTGGACTGACGCCAGACCAAACCTTCCCCTCCTGCTGCTCCAATGCCTGGGCTTTTGGCTTTCTTTCTTTGGAGGAATCTGTTTGTTGGCCCTTCCCTTATCTGTTTGAGCTGTTCCTGTCATGTCACTGTCATCCGTCCCAACCGCAGAGAGGCAGGCACCTGCTTCGTGATGCTGATCTTCCACCTCACGCCTCAACCAATACCTTTCAATTGATCCATACGTTCGTCTCCCTCCCTCAAATGCAATGAAAGGCAGGCCCTTCGTCCTCTTTCCTCGCCGTCCCGAGCTGCATTGCGGCAATCCCCTGACCACGGGAGCACAGTGACGCAAAGGGTCCACTCGGATCCGGGGTCTCAGGTACCAGCTGCGCTGGGACGGGTGGCCAGATTGCGGGGTAGTGGATACCAGTGTACTATGCACCGCTAGGCCGTTACATGTCAGCGGCCACAACAGCCGCCCACCCGCTGCGCCTGCCCAAGTACCGGAGCAGCACGCGACTGGTATCGCTCTACCCCTGCTATCGAGCCATTTAGGGGCCGCAACTGATCGAAAACTGCCCATCGTCAGTGTCGTCTCATCCCGGCATGTTCCTTTTTTCGTCCTACATCAAGGCCACAATCACTTTTGTTTTGACTCAACAGTTGGCCATTCTCCTTGTCGATGCTCCAGAAACCCTTCACCGTATCGAAGCCCAGAGAGTCTAGTCTGCTATGGACTGCTTTCCGACGTCGGAGCATCCCCAACGGCTCGATGTGGCTGATTCGGTTTGGCCATGTGGCAGCTTTGCTGTTCTCGCCCGGCCTCGAGCCTGGCTCCTTGCCAATGACTCCATCGCGGCAGCCTGCATATTGGCACACATGATCATGCTCCTGCTCGGCGACTGCCGGTCCTGGCCTGTCCAGTCCAGCCAACGCCAGCTCCACGTCGACTTCTTTACCTACGGCATATTCTCTTCGGACACGAAGAACTCCGCAACCACCAGCACTGACAGTTGCAAATGTGGTCTCGATGGGGTTCCTATGGGTCTCTCATCATCACCTGCTACACTGTGTACAGCATTCAACTTCTGGATCCGCTCATTCCTCAATTCACCGACTCCCAACGAATCTGGAATGTTGGTGCATCTGCCGGAAAATGCCCGTATGACTGCTCTTTCGCGTTTCAATGCTGAGTCCTGCGTCCTGCGTACCGGTCCCCAAGAACGAGAACCCCTGAAGCGGGCCCCGGACCGGAGGACATCAATTGACCAATGGCTCCACTCGGCTCAGTCGGAGAGCTTTCTGGAGCTTGCTGGCTAGCCTCGCAACTACGCCTCCCTCCTCGGTTCCCGAAATCGCAACCGCCTGAGCTCCCGTCGCCAGCTCAGCTTATGCTTCCAGCCGCAGCTTCTCACGCAGACAGCTCGCCACCACCACCATTGCCCACCTTCTTGCTGCGTCGATGCGGCGTAGAGATCGGAGGACAGCCAGTGTTGAGGCCTCGTCACCTCCACCGTCGAGAGCTTGTTCTCGTCAAACGCCCGCCCCCCTGACTCGCGAGATCGGGACCCCGCCTGTCTGTGCACCCCTCTGATCTACTTTGCATCCTGGGTCTGGTGGTTTGACGCGCTTGACGTGTTTCCCATTTACCTGCCGCATTCCTCTGGACGCAGTCATCCCATTCGTCGGGTGAAAGCCGGCCGATGGAGTGTTCGACTCGATTGTCGACCTCCAGCGTCGACCGGATCCGTTTGCAGAGCTTAGTCTCGGAGATGCGCACTCTATCTGGTCTCGATCTACGGTGGTATCTGTTTGTTATCTGGGTCCAAGATACGGATAAGCCATGAACAATTGTGGACTCCCAGTCACGCCAGCAATGGCGGCATCTTCGTTTCCCAGATAAGGATGCCAAAAGCAGGCTGGGAGACGTCTCTCAGGGGCTTGTGTCCACTGTTGTCAGTCATGAACTGCCTCAATGATGGCGGGGCGCCAATACCGATAGACGGCGGAGTGAGCGAACAGCGGAGCCTCTGTTTTCCCCACGGGTCCCGTGACCACATTTCGACTTCACCTCCTCCCCTTTCATCTATCGACCAGTCTGGATTTCTCGCCTCTTGACGTCTTATTGTGACTCGAATTATCCGAATCACGCTCTTTGGCCACGGGGCACCAATTGTGCCGAAAGTGGTGATCAAGCTTCCACGTAGCATCTTCGACGCCGCAACTGAGTCATAGAACATTCGCCGCAGTTCCACATACGAAGCCTCAGATGACTCCATATCCTGACCTGGTGACATGCTCAAATTGCGCCATCTTTACCTCTCGGTGCTTTATTCCACTACGCCCGGCACCGCTGCGTCTGGAAATTCTTAGTTTTTCCGTGGCTCGGTCTGACTTCACAAGGCCTCAAATTGTGAATAGACAGCTTGCGCAGTTGCTCATACCGCCTTCCGGTACTCCTTTAGCAACTTTCCCCAAAGCTTCACTTGTAGAGTACGTCTTGACTAGCTTTCTACTGTCGTCCAGAATGTTCGGTGTTGCACAGGCATCGACGGTGCTGCTTCGCATCGCTGTCTTAGGTCAACCGGCACTGTGAGAAGCCCTCCACACTCTCGCTGCTTGAGAAAACAGAGGCAAATAGCAAGTCGCCGTCATGGCCTCAGTCTCTGTTAACCTCCAGTGGCACATTGAAAGGGGCATTTACGTCACTCGGCCTGCCAATTGCTCAAAGTAGAATCCATAGCAGGTCAACAAAACTGTGCGTCGGAATCTCAAGAGTCGAGCCGGGTTTCTAACCCTGCTTGCTCTCGAACTTTCCACGCCTTGCATTATCGTTCATCCCTCGCACTCGACCGCAGAAATGTGCCAACAACGCTCCTCCACGTACCTACTCATCCAAATCTAAACACCAACGACAAGTCTGTGACGCCTTGGATTTGGCTCAGTGCGCAGCACCGCGAAGAGTCCGCGGCAGATTCACGAATCCAGCTACTCGGCCTGCTGTGGCATCTCTATCCGTCTCCTGTGTCGCTCTTGTGGCCAAAAGGATCAAACCAGGAAGACATGGTGTACTCTATGGGGTTGCGTCTGACCACATTCATACATGTACTCGAGGTGAACATGGTAGATCCAAGAACTGTGGTCTCATAGCCGACCAAAATCCGTTGGAAAGATGAACCATTCGGTAACAAGTACGCTCGAGCATGTTGAGCACAGCCATGACGATGGCATCGGCAATTGAAAGCTTCTGTCCCGAATCTGGGAGAACGCCTGAGCACAAATGATCTCCGCCAGTAGGGGAACAAAAAAACAACTCTGAGCCGCTGGATTATTGGAAGATATCGAAAGGCGCAGAGACCTGACGTCCGGCGCAACGACGTGAAGGAGCGGATACTTCGCTCGAACACATGGCAAAGGCAGTAGCCCGATGCGGGCATATTCCCATCCTTTCTCCGTAACTTCGATGGCAACTGCAGTACTCGCCACAAGTTCGCCAGCGGTGCATGCCTAGCTGATCCTTCACTCTCAATATAGACCACTCCCGAGACCTATACAAAGACGGCCCGTGGAAGTTATAAGCCAGCTGTCCGGTGCCATACATGTATGTTTCGTAGCTTTCTCCACGAGGTTCTTCCTTCCGCCCCAGGGACATCAGAAAGAAGATCGAGATCACGAGCCATACCTCCCCTGAATCCATCCTATGCTATGTTCTCGTCATGGCGCATCTGCATCTGGCTCCCGCGCGTTTTACTGGGATATCAAAGTTCCTCGCTACTCACTTTCACGGCGGCTCTCGCCACAAATCTTGTCTTGAACACACAGATGGGGTCGACTCTGGTCTGAAACCAACCCAGATGAAGTTCTGCCGTAGGATTGAAGAATCTCCAAGCGGCAATTCGGCATTAAATCTCTTTTTTGAGGCCGGGCAGATCTATGCGAGTGAAATGGACCATTCACGACCGCATATGTATTTCAATGTACATGTAATATTTTCAAAAGACTTTTGCTATCCGGGCAGTGTCCATACATACGTGTGTTATTCGTGTATCCTGCTAGACCCCCCAGGTTTTCTAGCTCGTGTAGTTACTTTCGTCGTCGCTGTTGTTGCTATTCTTTCTATCGTTACTATTACTTCCATTGTCGCTATCGTCATCGTTCATCGTCGTCGTCTATCGTCGTTATCGTTATTATTGTCGTCGCTACCCCTATTAAGTCCTCTACTACTGTCGCCCTTATAGGATTCATAAGGGACACTTCCTGGCTAGCAAAACTCCTTCAGAACAGCGATGCGAATGCTTTGTATCTTTAGCTAGAGCATGTTGGCAAAGGCACATACGGAAGAAGCTGGTGGAGGAAATGCAGTCCATGACGTCTGTTAATGCACCGTCCTCCACGTAGAAGCCTCATGCGCCAGTGTTCAGAATTTTGAGATGCCAACTCAAGTATCAACGCATCACAATCGGTCACGCGACCTCAGTTGTGTATCTCGGCGTAACCTCGATGAAGGTCACTGAGCAGCAGGCGAGAGCAGAATTGCATCAAGAGTATATGATCACAACGTCACGGGCCTTTATGGGTCGGGAAACGAAACAATGTTAATGACATATGTTGTATCTAAGAGGAACCCAGCGATGGATGCGTGAATTTGAGCTTGCATAAACGGCATCGATGGTCGTTGGGATCCATGTAGCAACAAGGTGGTAATCAGGAGGCACGGATTGCCGTCATAACAGTTGGGCATGATCCACAATGTGCACATGCCCCCGATACAGCCGGAAGGATTTTTATCATGCCTCTGTGCTTTGAAGTTGTCAAGTGAAAGATGTCAACATGTGTACTATCGGACATATCTCGCTGTGGAATAACTCTTGTAAACCTGGCAAGCCACTGCTTGCCGAGAACCCGAGAATGATCCTTGATATGAAAATAACCATCTCAATTGATGAGGCTAATCTAGCTTACTCACCCACCACTATTCTGGTGCAAGTTAGTTCTCAATGCCTCGGGCTAGTCTGTGGCAGCATCATGCAGGCTCGACATGATCTATATCGCGAACGAACCAAACCCTTCTGCCCGACAATTCATCTTGGATCGAAAGTGTGTTACGCAGCGCCAAGATGAACTAGAAGGCACAAACGCCCGGGTCTCTCTCATCAGTTCCACATCTGGCACAGACGCGCCAGCAAAAATTCCACCTCCAACGCATCGATCTGTACCCAAAGAGATCCCGCGCGTCTGTGGGCTTATCAAGCCTGCCTCTGCTAGTGTAAAGCGACCAAACCAAAAACGCTACAAAGGCAAGAAGTCAAGTCTTGGTAAACTTCCATCTTGCCGCACAGCTGAACATGTCACGACATCCCTGGGCACTGCCACCCTTGAGCGGTTCGCCTCTGTTGCAAGGTGTCAACGTAAGCACGCAAAACTGACCCCAAGGCGTTTTTTCTTCTTTCCTCGTCTGGAGATGTGTGTTCCAAGAAAAGAATCAAGCTTCTTCTTGGTCCAAGGCCGACAGAGGTGTGATGTGCCACGAGTTCGTGGCGAGAATGAAGCACACCGGAGCCAAGTCCGTCTAATGGTGAAACAGCATCATTATCACAGCCACGCAAGATCCGGCCCGTCAGCTGTAAACGTTGCGCGAAGAGCTTCCATCCTTGTGATGTTTCCTTCCACTAGGCGCATGCATTGGAGGGAGGCTTAGAGAATTAATAGCTCATTCAAGCTTCTTCTGAAGCTTTGCCCCCCCAAAGAGCTGCAAGCTACAACCCGCCCCAGGGAAGGCAAAAACGGGGACGGGTATATCTCATCATTTACGCGTTCCGGGCTAGGATCCCTTTTTCGCCTTGACAGGTCGGGACCACGATCCGGGAGCCAGGCGTCTACTTCACCCATCCATACCTGACAGCCGGCCGGCGCAACCATGCAGAACTATATTCGGTGAAGCCTGAAGAGGCAAGATGGCGGCGGTCCTGAAGAAACATTTCCTCGATAGGGTGCTGACGTGAGGCGCTGAGTCACCCATCGCAAAACCAGAGACGAAAGGACATGCTTTCTAACATTGACAAGTCTCCAGATCCCGGGTGCCCTACCCATAGATCAGTATGGCAAGCCGGGGCAGTCCTGGTCGACCTGCTTAAGCACAAGCGTGCGCTCAACCCACACCCCCATGGTAGCAAAGATCTTCCATCCTTTCCAATCCAACCATCCGTCCTCATCTTTCTACCTACCCCCCATTCGGTAGATTTCCCACGGACCTCAGTCACGGCAACGAGATACAAGATATTTATAAATCATGAAAAAGACAAGGTTATCCAACGCCTTTGAAGGAATGAACCGTGCCGCTCGCAACGTCTAGACCACAAAGAAAGATAGTGGATGGGTGAGTTGCGGGGTCTCCTCGGTGAGTAAAAGCTTTTTAGAGTGGGGGGGGGGGAGCTCTCAGGAATGGAGGAATTTGGAGATGAGCATTTTGGTAGGAAAAAGATGGGATTCTCTCATGTGCTTGATTTTCTGCCTACCCAAAGTTTTCCCCAGTCCACCAAGCCCCCAACGAGTGTGCAAGTGATCCCCCACCCAAGCTCCCCTTATCTTGGTATCCGATTGCGACAAAAGTAGACGGTTTGCCTTCCCCCTTCAGTCCAGTCCCATTTCGACCCCTTCATGCCATAAACGCCAGGGTAAATCAGGACAACAAAGTGTCCCAGGCCTGTGAACTCCCGTTTTCGCCATCTAATAATAGAGTAGAGGAAAGAAAACAAACAGAACACACCTGGACCCCTTTCTCCTCCTTAGACAAATGTGAGACGAAATCAGGTGAACACCAGCATCCAGCCACTAAAGAGCCTATCGGTCGTTTCCCATGATCTGCAAAAACCTTCACACGTTTGCCGGTCGCCGCGCCCAATTTTCATGGTATCCGTAAAAGAAAGCAGTGGTTCTCCGTCCCAAGATCGAGGAAAGCAAAAAAAGAAGGAATGCGCGGCATGGATTTCGTTTTGTGGGATTCTGATCGTTGTGTTTGCGCTCAGCCGCTATTATGAATTATTCCTCATGGCAGCGGCAGTTGAAGCTCATAGGGTGTAAGTCTGCATGTCCTGAAACATGTACATGTTGTCGGCGTAATCCATCGCTCCGGGATGGGCAGTCGGCATGCCCATGTGGGCAGACGGATCAAACATCATTGGTGGCGGTGCGGCGGTCGTCGGGTGATGTCGCGGCATCTGGTGTGCCCTCGCCTGAACGCCCCGGAGCTTGAGGTACTCGGCGTGTAATGCCGAGTAGGCCTGGCTGAGGGAGTCGTTCTTTTGCTTCTGCTCGGAGAGCATGACCTCGAGGTCCTTGATGCGCTGGTCCTTGCGCTCGCGATATGCCCGTTGTGATGCTCTGTTCTGTGCTCGGCGGCGCTGCGCGGGGAAGGGGGGCACGTGTTAGTCGGGCTGCGCCTGAAGTTTGTTGCTCTCCCGCTCGCTCGCTCGCTCGGCGGCGAGTCCGCGGGATTCGGGCTGGGGAAAGTGTAAAAAAGCTTACCGAAAGCACGGAAGGCGGGGCATTCTTGTATCTGTTCTCACGCTTCCTCTTCGCTGGAGGTTTGGCGGTGGTGGCAGCGGCTTTCGGATCTGAAGCGGGCTGCGGTGATTCCGTGTCTCGCTGTGAGCTCATTGGGCTGGGGTAGATGCTGGTTTCTGTGGTATTGAAGTCGGGTACGAACGTCATATCGAACTTGACCAGTGTAAGCCGATGGAGATTTGTAGGTGCGGGGCAGGCCAACTTACGTTCGATATGATGGGACTTGTGCTCTCGGATGAGCTAGCAGTGTCCAGATATTGCTCTGCCTCTTCGTAGCCGTAAGGCGCCTCCATCTCCAAGAACGCATCAATGTCGTCCAACATGTTGAGAGGAAGTGGGTGCTCCATTATAACAATTGAATGTCTGAGTGTCTTGTTTTCGTAGGCGGATGAAGGAGTAAACGGGCCGGCTGAATTGGTTTCGTGTGCGACGTCTGGGAAGCTCCAACTCTGGGGCAAGATTGGAAAGAAGGTATATATAAAAGTCGGTTTGGGCGACGAAGTGTCTGGCTGTGCGTCTGGAAGGTGCCGTGATGTGTAAGGCGATCTAAGCTACGCCACGGTGATTTGCAACGGGCCAGATGGAATTATATAAGGCGCGCGGCGCATGCGAAAGATGCACCACTCGACAGTCATGGCCGGGACAGGGAACATGTTCGGAGGGTTGGTAGGGGACCGCATCTACATCCACATCTGCATGTCCATGTGAAAGCTGTGATTTCTGGTTCGTAACCACATAGGTAAGCAGCCTCTTCGCAGACATTCTCGAGGGGCCGCAACTGTACATGGCGGCAAAACAACGATCCAGTCGACCGTTGACCCATTGGACCCCAGAAAGCGCACCGCTATGTTGCTTAGAGTGCATGGCACCCCACCTCCTTGTTCCTGGCTGGTCCCTGATGTTCAAGGTTGCGTGATGGGGGGGACAGGAAGCAGAAGAAGAAGTCGCCCTCCCCGCCAATTTGGGCCTGGTCGAGAGCTTGTAGCGAGCATGGATTGGTGGTGCGGCAAGGGTAGAAGGAACGATTAGACCTGTCTTTGCTGCATGTTGCGCCAAGTCCCCGCCTTAAACGGGCTGCCATGTTGCAAGGGCCCCCGGCGAACGGAGTGTCGTGGGGACGGCGAACGGTACAGACAGACGGTGGTGCTGAGGGGTTGATGAGCCGACGCGGCCCCGTTAAGCTTCGAAGCTGCTGTTGGTGCATGATGCTGAGCCCTCTCGCCCACGTCGTCCGGCGGGCGACATGAGATAATTCTCTTTGGCCAGCCGTCGTTTGATTTTGATTTTTAGCCACTGAGAACTTCAGATGGAAGGGTTACGAAAGCACCGCCGCAGCCAAAGAGTAATAGCCTTTCCGTCCTCCAACATTGGATCATCCCAGTCCATGACATGGGGAAATTTTTGGACGGCCAAGTTTTACGATCTCGGCTTTTCGGCGTGGCAGATATGATGGAAATGCTTCGCCAATGGCATTTCAAGTAACTTCGCTCCTTCGGGGCCAAACATCGTGTCCGTGGGGATGACTCGCGGGGGTCTCCGGTCGTGACGCCGTTTCTCACAGCCAGATGTCGACTGCCAGATCTACTTAGACGGTTCTCGGAACTTGATAGAAAATAACGGAACGAAGACAAGAGCTTTCAGTGCCGGAAGCAGCTACTGGCTGGTCAGATGTCGTTCGCAGTTAGGGGAGGGGTGCGTTGTCCAAGGGGGTATTGTCGCTGAGCGAGACAGTCGCAATCCCGCCTTTTTGGATTCGTTTCCCAGCTCTCAAGCTTTATTTTTGATGGTATTTTGGCAGAAGAATGGCGGAGCCAAATTGGGATCTTAGCGGTACCTCTTGCACGCTCCGGGCGTTTGCGTAACCGTCAGCTCCCGTCTGCAAGTCGTCCTCTGTCTCCATTTTTGGCAATTTGAAGTTGAGATGCCCAGCGTGTCAAATACTTGATTGGAGTGTCCGCTAGACCGTATCAAAAGAGGAGGATGCGAGATTGGATGGGGGAAAGCTTTGCTGATTAGAAGAAGACGGTTTGCGGTTACACTTTCCCCGCGCCTGTTGCCCCCAGTCCATCGCGCACCCCGAGCGTAGGCATGTTAAGCCGAGTAGCCATCCAGTGGGTTGACATCGATATTCTTGGGGAAACCACATGGGCCAGCTATGACTACACTGACCATTGCATCTGGTGGACTTCGCGACATCAAGGCTTTCTGACGCCTTGGATCACGATGTTTGCTATTAACACGAGGCAGCAGAGCTTCGGCTCTTGAGGCCCGGTTCGTATGCAGTGCCTTATGAACTGCACTCGTGATGAATGCAGGGCACCGGCGCGCTCTGCACCACTGCGGGCGTTACAGGGGAACGTTGCCTTGCCAGGCTGACCTGGGCTAGACCAGACCTAAGGCACTCCACATTGCCAACAATAGAAGTCTCCACGAGTGCTCGAAGGAAGGCAAAGTCGGTTCCTTACGTCAAGACTCTTGTTGTCGAAGCTTCGCCGCCACTGTCAACTGTCGTCGGAGGTTTTCCGACTATACATCAGTCCGGCTATAGGCCGGAGCTATGGTGAGAAGCTGGGATGGTGCGGGCTCGAGTGGGATCCCGCAAGCGAGCCCCAACTCAATTTCAAGAGGTCTAGGTCCGGTAAAACATGGTGATTCGCCAAACGGTAAAGTCTAATGTCTTTCGTCCAGGAAGTCTTTTGCTGCTTGCGACGCTGAATGGGCCTGTGCTCGTCGGAAGCACTTTTTCAGCTCGCCAGGTCCTAGGGGAGTTATGTCGAGGTTGACGAGAGGGGAAACATGGGATTGTCATATGCCTCGAATTCGGCCAAGCCCCTCTGGATCAATACCCCTCATATCTGAGGATGGATGCATAGGAGACATGGGGTCGGTGTGCGCTGAAGAAATGTGCACATGGTACCGATTCAATCCGATTATCAAGCAACTAAGTGACCGTGTTGCCAACAGCAATCGTATATGTTGGAAACGTGAAGACCTAGATCTTGTGGGCAGTGCGGTTACATGCGCAATGGCAAATGTTCCCAGGCCCGATGCCGTGGAATTCCGCCGCACTAGTGGCCCTAGAAGTCGGGTTGCAACGTGCGGTGGTGGCAGCGGGTTGAGCTTCCCACCAATCGGAAACTCTAGGTGCTCATTCGCGGCATTGTCTCTGTGCCGACTTGCTGTGATATGGGACAATTTGGCCCCCAAGCGATAAAGTCGAGTCTGAGTCTATGTTCGTTAAGCAGCGCACTAACGTCCTCGATCACTGAATGATCCGCGGTCGCGCCGTGCCTAGGTAGCTGGTCCTGAATTGCTATGCTTAAGCTCGTCGGACAGTTGGACGCCGATGATCGTTTCCGCTCCGTCTCGGATCCGGATCCTGGCTGGAGCCCGCGCTCCGATGATGGAACTGCACACCGAAGCCGCCCCGAAGTATTATTTTTTTGCCGCATTCTAGACTTTCGGGAGTAACGGCGTGTACAACCAGCGTCAGACTCCGCAACATCTTTATCAGGCGCCGGATCTTTGAAAGGCGTCCAGATGCTGTCTGCCCTTCACCCATCCGGCTTCTTCTTCTGCCTGCTTTGGGCCATACAGCCCGTGTCAACGGAGTTGTCCGGAGCAGCGTTCCCGGACATTCTGATACCAGCGTACCCAAACCATACCTTACTTCGAGCACAACGTACGAACGTCCCAATGGTATCGTAGAGTCTGTTTTGTCATGCTGCATATACTAGTGCTGCTAGCGTCTCCATATCCCCTGCAGCCGAAATTCTGGGCGCTGGCCCCCGCTGTACGAAGACAGCTGGGCTGATCTAGCCTCCGGCATGCAACACCGCTGTCAATAAATCATCAGGTAGACCGTACCCGTGCCCGGCGCTGATCTAATCATTCAACAAGCGCGGATCCTTCATTCTGGTAATGGGTGGTAGGCCCTGGTCCGAATACCTGGTATGCAACCGGAGCGGGAACACTCAGGCTGGAAGCCAACCGCTTGATTCTATTTTAATGTCTTCTACCACTTGAAGTGGGCAGTGGACTAGGCTGCGACGCAATCATGGAATCCGCTTCTCGGTGCCGGGCGTGGCATCGTGAGCCTTGCCAACTATCGAAACGAATCCTAGCCATGCCAAGGTGTAGTCGGCCTGCAGCAACTGTCTTTCGGCAGGTTCAATGATTGGAGCGTATATTGAACAGCAGGCAGCTGCATCTCTGTTGAAGTCCTATCCGTATAGGGGATATTGTGCTCGGGCAAGCTTAGACACCGCCAGTCGAGTGGAACTCCGTTGGCAATGCCGGAGCCGAGCCTGCCGTCAGGCTCAGGCCGTTGTTTGCTCTGCATTGAATCGACGAGTTGCGCAGGGACAAGTTGAACACCGCCATAGAGTCCAAGGTTGTTCATCTTGCGGTGGGTCTGTTGACAGTTGGATTTAAGCTTCTGCCCAGTCGTCAGCCACAGTGACGTGCCATGCATGTTGCGTGGATATCCATTACTGACTGGACAAGACATACTACGTCTCATTTTCTCAGCTTTCGTATTTGACAGACGCAGTAGGAAAGCTCCCGTCATCCCGTCGACTGCAGCTGTGCCAAGTCGTAAAGGCCGTGAAATGCCCGACGTGTTTGCAACGTCTGGAAGCTGAGCAGTGGTGACGAAACAGCGTGAGTCTCTTCCCCATCACAATCAACCAAAAACCCCGCTTCTGCTTGTCATGTTAAATTTGACCGGCCCTCATATCCGAACATCTGATCAGAGTCGCACTGTATAGTCGGCAACATCGAGCCCGTCTGTAAGAGATGCTGCCCAAGCCCTGTGGTTTCGAAAGCGCCCCCAGCAAAGGGACTTTTCCACGGAAAACTTGAGAGGGGGCTCGATTGCATCGACTCCCAAACCTTTCCGCTTCAAGGTAGAGCAATCTGGAATTGATCTTGATGCTCTTTCCGAAGATAGAAAATACTGCTGCCTGGAACAGTGCCTGCAAAGAACCAAGTTGAGTTGTGGGACTATCAAGACAACCTTAGTCTATGCAAGTCGTGTAATCTCCGGATGGCGTGTCAGACATGACGGTGGCCGAAAGCACTACCGTCCCGATCCAGCAGCTGCGTGCGATTCCGACTTTCAGAAGCCCCAGCTTGTCAAGATCCATTCGCCTCCAGGCAGACACAATTGACACCCGTCAGCCGACACGCCTAGCAATATTAGCGGTGGCTGGTTGTCTTGCATTCCAGACGGGCCAGACTTATCCCCACAACAGCTCAACTATTTTCTAAAAAGGGTAATTTTTACTGAGCGCCATTGCTGGGGTGCTGGGATGATAATGCAGGGAAATGGACCCATGCTGTCTCTGCGTCCGCTAGCATGCCGAGCCGCTAGGGCCCATCATGTCATTGGCGAGAATCAACTTGGAGTCCGCGTGGGGTTGTGATGACGGCACGTAGCGATGAATATCCGATGAATCGTGACGGCAACGGCCTTTGGTTTTGACAGAGTCATGCATAGGTCCTTTGCTCTTCACACACGGCACAACTCCTTGGATCTAATGTCGTCGAGAAGGTGGAGCAGGGGAACCAGGCATGGGTTCCGCCGACTTGGAGCAGCCTTCTGCGCGCTCTATGTCGAGATTGGCACCTGATTGTCAGGAACTGCAGTTGTAAGAACTCCTGTTCTGCAAGATTCATGCAAAGGTGGTAACTCTGCGTTGAGGCGAACGAATCTACGTCCAGTTGACTCCACTACTGGCCCCCAGGCTCGGCGTGCTCTCCACGGTATGACCTGGTGAGCGGTGGCTCTAACAAATTCTTTTCCAGCTTGCATACACCTTTTTCAGAGATTAGATCGCGGCGAGTCTCAGTTGAGTAGCGCTCATGTCGTCACAGATCCTCGTCAACCATGTGCTTGCTCCCAACTGTGGGAAGGTAGGAACAGTCCACCAACTATTTTCGACCCACAATTGCATGTGCCTTGTATTTGAGTATGAATCCGTAGAGTTGAGTGATGGCGTAAAAGCTGATCCCTCACAGGGTTCTTCTAAATGTAGCCTTATGCAGGGTCCTTGCGGGCGTGAGCGGGGAGATTTTGCGCCGTTGCGCGGTTTTGTGGTTGAGCCCATCCGATTCAGAATTTGGGGTCTCGAAAATCCGCGAACAGAATCGTCGGATTGGAAGACTACCGTCCCGACACCACATCAGAGCTTCTGTAGTCCAGCCTCAGCTTGGGCTACGCCAGGTTCGAAGCCAATCTTCTTGCTCATCTCTATAGCCTGTTGGAAGCGTTTGCGAGCGTCAATCTTGTTGCCTAGCATTGCAGCAATGTCACCCATGTTCGTCAGGGCAACTGCGCATGCTTCATCGCACTCCTCTGTACGATCGTCGCCCTTCACGTCTTTCGCGTGTGAGTAAGCATTGCGGGCCCAATTCTTTGCCGCCTCCAAAAGTCCTGCCCGATCTGTTGGCATGTCGGGACTGAAAAGGACATCAGAAGTTGAAGGAGCTCCAGAAATAGTCTCGAGAGATGCCTGCGTGGGATGTTGAGCAAAAGCCACGGCCAGGTTGTTCACTGTAGTGGAAAGTCAGCAACACGATTGCATTCTGGTGGGCCATATCCGAAGGACGACGCACTTATCGTAACTCGATGACAAGGGTCGGCACACAGACGCAGGGCGTGGAAGAAGAGAGGCACAGAGAGTTGAAATTGGGATTTGGTCTCGTAGTGATTGGCCAAGGCTTAGGAATGCAATTAGCAAAGTGTGGTCTGCGAGCAATGATTCCAGATGAGGTTGAGGGCGATGAGACTCACATTCCATGGCACCACCAATTTCCTCCGGACTCATCCAGGCACCCTCCTCCTTCTTGACGCTCTCCTTATGGCGTCGTCGGGCTTCTGACAGTGCAGTCTCTACAGCCCAAGTCAAACGAGCCTGCGCATTGTCGGGCTCCAAGACGTGCTTGTCGGAATACAGAGCTCCGAGCTTGGTGCTGGTGCCCACAGCTTTCGCGAGGAGTCTTGTGCGCTTGTGCCACAAGTTCTCGGGGACCATCTCTTCCTCGTCCTCGACAACGGTTGGGCGTTGATCTTCGGACAATACCCTGACCGCAGCCGGTATTCCGGACTTATCTACCGTGCCCTCTGCAACTGATTTCTCGAACCACTCCACCCACTTGGTACAATCATCCATAACAGAGTTGAGAACAAGAATGGCTCCTTGGTAGTTGCCAATCTTCTCCAGCCAAGCTGCGGTCTGGATCCTGATGCCCAGGACATCATCAGAGAACGGGTCCAACTGAAGCTCATTGCATAGCTCGAGGGCTTGCTTATAGTATTTCTTCGCCAGGTTTGCATCGGGGCTGATGTTCGTATAGTAGAGTGCTCGTCTGAGGGCCTTTGCGATTGGTGGAGGGTATTTGGTGAACTGGCGGGCCTGGAAATAGTCAAAGTACAACTTGACAATGTAAACGGCAACACCGGCCAAGCCTGCCAGGCTAGGAAGTTGTCAGCCATGATCCCTCAAGTCACTGCTCACGGGGAACACGAGGTAGCTTACATTACCAGTGCTAGTGTCAGCTCTTCTGGGCTTTCCTTGAATAGTTTCTTCATTCCCCGCGGTGTCAAGGCGCTCATGAGATTGCGAAATGACATTAATCGCCATAAGGATCGTATTGGAGGGGGCGGAGGCGGGGATTTGGGATCCGTGTTCTTCTTGTTCGCATTGCTTGGTGGAGTCTTCGCCGTGCTGTTTTGTCTCGATTGAATGTTCCTTAGAGCATAGAGTGTGCTCGAGGGACCTCTGGCACGAGTTGTGGCTGTTGATACCGTAGACAATCGAATGGCTTGACCAAAGTAGACGCGATCAATGGCGCGGGACGCCGTGATGCGGGCAGCCGCCATTGTCGCGGATCTCAAAAATATGCTTCTCCACCGATTGTTGTTGATTGAATCCAAAGCATGCGCGTCGATGCGTGATTGGGTTGGCGGAGTTGACGTTGCAGAATGTGCCGAATGTGACGTATTGGATCAAAAATTCACGAGGCAAATGGTCGTCGCATTAGAAGGACCCAGAGCTCAGTCTGTTAGAGAAACGCGCAGCCAATGGGAGACGACCATTTACTCCGAGGCAACCCCCCACCCGGATCGTGGGGAAGCTCCTTCAGCATTAGAGGGGCAAATGTCGAGCTTGATCCCCCGCCCATCTTCCTCACCTGTCAAACCAGCTTGTTCTTGCCGTCTTCCGATCAAACCGATACAGCTACTTATCATCAGTGCGAAAACGTTCAGTATCTCTCATCCAAAAATCAACCAAGAAAATGTCTGGAAAGTTTGAGCCCAAGACCCCGGTCGAACTGGCCCCTCCCAAGGACGATCCCATCACTCTTGAGGAGCTGGCTAAGGCTGATGGTAAGTGGCAGAATGGGCCGACTTATGTTTTTCGTTTTCAAGGAAAATCTCGTATCTCCATGTTTCGAGAGAGAACATCGCATCTTGAGTGATCATTGACCGCACCCGTTGAGGGGCAGTCCGTAACCCAATGCCAGCAGACCGCTTCTTCCCAGCACAGCTCAGATGTTTGCCTACAGCGGACATGTGCCTTCGTTTGGTTTTTTTAATATCTCCACAGCCTCGCAAACTCCGTACCAACGACTTTCGCATATGGAACCCATGTATTCTGCGTCATGTACGGTAGTGTACTAATCTCATGTTTCCCAGGTTCCGACCCCAACGGAAAGACGTACGTCGCGATTAAGGTAAACCGACATCTATTTCTCCAGCAATGACGCACATTTCTCACACGGTTTCTAGGGTGTTGTCTACGACGTCACTGGTAACAAGGCATATCAAGCCGGCGGATCCTACAATGGTAAGGATTCTCACACTCGGTATATGGATGCATGCTGACTCTCATTTAAAGTGTTCGCTGGAAAGGACGCCTCTCGTGCTCTGGGAAAGACCTCAACAAAGGCCGAGGATGTTAGCGCCGACTGGTCAGACCTTTCAGACAAGGAGAAGGGCGTTCTGAACGACTGGATCACTTTCTTCTCCAAGCGTTACAATGTCGTCGGCCGTGTTGCTGGGGCTACCAACACGGAATGAATCTTGGGGAGGGGAGAGAGGAGAATTGAGTCAAAGCTATGAGGAGTTCATGGTGGGGAAGGCAGAGATATCGTTCATCATGGTATGGGCATGATCGGGAGCAAGTGTAGACCTAGTCAGTTCTCAGCCCAAGCATGCTCCAATGACACCGGTTTAAACTTGGTATGATTTCAATGCCCTCTTCCCACTCCTTCTTCATCCTCTTCAACTTGTTTCTTCCCCATCCCCACGTTGAATGGCGCACCTATTCCAATCTCTCACCTAACAGCGACGCAGTTGAACGTCACCCCCTCTTACGGGTGGTCGTACATCTGCAGACCTCCCAATGTCAAAGCTTATTCGACGATACACCCCCTGTGCGCAGGTCATACCTCAACACGTCGGGTCGCGCACAGCAGCTGTCGTTCAGATGCGATGCCACCTTTGCTGTCTAACCCCCCACTCATACACGCGTTCAGACCCGAGGGGGACAAGCAGGGGCTCGACTGTTTTGATCTACTCCTCCGTTACGCTTAACTTTGGCTCCTCATCAAGCGGTTGGGTCTAGTCCGTTGCCACGCAGGTAAATACGAGGATAGAAACCTCTCAGCGAGTCAAGAACCGGAACAGTCTCATGTCTGGAATAAAGTGAAAAGTGACGTGTCTCGGACTCGAGGCTCATGCACCGGATATCCTAGAAACATCATCTTGCATCTCAGCTCTCAAATCCCCTTTTTTTTCTCTTCGTCTTCTCCTCACCTGCAGCTTGCTCTACCCTCCCCAGAAAAACCGTTCCAGTGGAGCCAACCCAACCACTCGTTGTGCAACAGTGTGTACTTGCAGCTGCATGGGCCCGGGTCGCCCGCCAGCGTCAGGACAACATCTTGTCTTCCTCTTTTGCATGAACGCCTCAGATTCGAAGGATCGGGAGGAGAAAGCCTGCCTGCCTGCCCGTTCCAATGCAACCTTGCGTCTCAGTGGAGACAGCTCACGCACATCCTCTGAAGCCTAGGGACTTCTTGAGTTTCAGGTCTACTTTGAAAACAAGACGCCCATGTGCATCTTCGAAGTGAGAATTATGGGTGGAACGGCTTGGCGGTCGTGATGGGAGGTCCTTCGTATTCGTCAGGGAACCAGACATGTGCGCCGACTCATTAGCCGGTGGAAGCCTCCCGTCGATGATCTGAATCAATCTCTGATCGAGGAAGCTGTGCTTAAGCCTTCTGGGAAGGGTGGCTGGCACAAAGTGAAAGGGCTGAAGAAAACACTATGAGAGCCTTATGAAAGAGCCCTAACGTGGGACAAGGAGCGGGCCATGGATAAATGCCAGGATTGAGAAATTAAGTCTTAGAGCCAGTAACATTTGTAACATTTGTGCCTCTGATCATATCTCGAACTTGAAGAGTGAACAATACCAAAATATTCAGACTGTCCCGTCGCATGATTGGATGACTCTTGAGGCCAGTTCTGGCCCTCTTCACTCCGTGTCAGATTCACTGCGCATTGCATACGTGTAAATTGGATGGTTCCTACCAGAAATCGAGATACATGTATCACTACATTCTTGGCTATCTAGCCCGCAACCTATTTTCACACCCCCCCTCGAAGAATAAAGAGGTGCCACTCGAGCCCGACCCTTGAGAAGAAGTATCTGAGACCCGATGCCTATATATGCAAGTGCGAACACGACATGAATCAAACCAAGCCATCCCGTCTCGATGCAAATGAATCCCGAAAGTCCCTAGCGAATGTTTTTGAACGTCATCAACCTCCTCCAACGTTTGGTGCGCGTCTTGTATGTGAACATGTGAAGGGCTCACTTAGCCCTCTGGTCGCTGTGTCATACTTCATTACCCAACCATTTAGTAGGACAAGTTCCCTATCTACAATCAATCAATCCTACTCAAAGAATGATTTCCCTTGATCTTCTCCGCGTTCCGAGGTGGCGGTGGCTGCTGATCCCTTCAATGACGATGGCGCTTGCCGCCCACGCATTCTTCCCGGCCGAAACCGGCGGCGAAATGTTGGTGCCCTTGCTGGGACTGCCATGCCGAGACGCAGTCATCGCAAGGGGTACTTTGCTGCCAGGAATTGCGGAGGACCTTGACGCTAAAGCATTGGTGGTTGGGATCGTTGCGGGCGAAGTGGCAATAGGACTTGAGACGGACGATGGAGTGGTTGCAGGTGAAGAGGAACTCCTCAAAGTCGCACATCTTGAACAAGGCTCGGGAGAGATGACGTTAAGGTTAGATAGGTACTCGGGCTTTTATGATATGTTAGCTGTGATCTTGAGCCCTCTTTGGACGACTCACAGTCAATGTTGATTTGGAAGCTTGCGCACTTGAGGTTTTCAAGACTCTCAAAAGCTATGTCTCGCAATACGTGAATTTGGACGGAAGTTAAGTCGACAAATATCAAGGTAGAGAATGATCGAGTAGTTGAGATATGCCTCTGTACTGTTCATTCCTGACATCAGAGATGTCTGGTCTTATATACTTGATATCCTTCACCAGTTGTCGGACGTCGTCGTCAACCTCGATCATCACGGGCGTTGAAATCCGTTTACGTCCAGCTGCAGGTCAAGAAGCTCCAATAGACGCACACAGTATCCTTTGTGACCTGGCATGCAATACCTGTCCGGTCGTCAGTCTCGCATGCAGGCTGGGTCAACGTTGGGGTCAATGTCACTAATTAATCACCAATTTCACGTCCAAGACCCAACAGCTACCCTACGTAGATTAGTTTTTCGGATAGCTGAACATGCAGCTGGGTAAAGGAGGTTGCGCCATTGCCTTTTGACCGGAGGTGTGAGAGGTGGACGCAAGAGCTACCGCACCATGTCGAACCGGATACCTTGGGGCTCAGTCGCGGGGTCTCGAGCTGGTCTATCGGGTCTGCTCTAATTAGCGTTATACTTGAACCACAAAATTGTGTGTAAATTTGCACTGAAACTTGAGATACTGGTTAGTCGATACCTACATACTGGTCAACCCTCGAAGGTCTCGTCCGGAGAACTTTCTCTCCAGAGTACCAACCCTACGACCCCCGCCACGAAGGCAGGTCAAGCCCACAAGTTTTCCCGCGCATATGCTTGCTCGGATATTGGTTGCTGCAAATTTTCAGACTTTCCAAAAGGCTTTTCTTCCTAGAGTCTTTGCTTTTTGATTGCCCATGTCGTTCCTTAGAGGAAAATGCTTTTGGTGCTTGCGGCCGAGGCTGATGTCTGAGGGTGGATAGTCCGGGCCAGGTCTTGGAGACCTCCGTAGGCTCACCGGTTGTAGATTTCTCTTCGTATTGGCTGCGTGTCACGAGGAGACGTCAAGAACCTGTCGGATTGTGGAGCGTGTAACATACGTGATCCAATCATTCACGGCCACCATTTTCAATCAAGCCACTTGCATCCTTGCGGCGCGGCCCGATAGGTGGTTATCGAGAAAGCCGCAAAGCTAGCCCTTGGCAGGAAGCAAACACGTACTAAACTCGGACAGATGAGTCCCCGGCTTTCCATTGCCAACGGCGCGGGCGGGAGAGGTGTTGCGGATGCTATCCTATTGGGGAGGATGAGGGCCGATGGCCCCAACTGCTCTGGACTAGAGCGCCTACTTATCGTAGGGCAAGCATCATGGCAGGGAAGTCGCACTCGTCACCCAGTGAAACAGGGGACAAGTGATGCCCCCTCTCGTCTGGACGACCCGAAGACGTTCAAACGCTGCAGGTATCCTCCGGAGACCGGCGTACATTAGTGAAGCAAATTTGACTGTGAGGCAAGTCATCGGAAGTGAGGTCTGGACCCGTTGGGTTTTTCCCGTTAGGTGGGGGGCAACACTGTCGGGAAACGACGTCTCCAAAAGCTGGAAAAAAGTGACATATCATAATGTGAGTTGCAGTTCAGGCCCTGATTTGCCCTGAGGTGCGTTGAATCTCGGGTGAGTCTCCTCACTTGAGAGATGAGGAATGAGGATACTGTACAGAATCCATGCTACGGAAAGGGGTGATGAAGAAGAAGGAGGAGAAGAAGCAAATCGAACGATGCGCTGTTCACTTCGCTCAAAGGAAGAAATCTGAAAGGAGTCATTTTTGCGAGTCTTGTCTTGTCCACCTCGATCTGTGTCGCTGTCGAGTCCACATGCAGGCAATCGGGACTTCTGGAGCTGGGAAGTGCGCATTTGCGCAAAGTGATGGAGCGACATAGCCTCAACCTCGTGTTATTGCGCCGCCATGCAGATGAACTGGAAACCAAGTTGCAGAAAGAGCATGCTCTCCTCAGTCGTGACAGATCAGAACGGTAAGACGGTCTGGCGATGTCCAGAGTTCGAAGGGCTGACCCAAGTTTGTTCTTCAACCAGTCTACAAACCACGGCGAGCATTGAAGGCAACTATTGCCCTCAGCACTACTTCAGCTGACATAGTGGACGGCTTATTACAAGTTCTAGACCACCAGACTCATGGCTCCATTTCTGCGAATGGCGTCCAAAGCCGAGTGCCACCTCTCAGGTCTCGGCTTTTTCGCTTCTCTCACGGCCGACTCTGAGTTTTCCACAGGCCTCAGTGGGCTGAGGCGAGGGTCGAAGATGGCAATTTACTGTCGTTGTGATTGAGAATGTCGCAGTGTCGAATGATCGCGGCTTTCGCCAACTTTTCTGTTACCGATCCTCATTCGACATTGACACAAATGCATCGGAGTGGGTTGCGGTGTTGACAAGAGCCACTGGGCAGTCCTTTGAAGTTGATGGTGTTGAGACACTGGTGACGTGCTGACTACAAGTAGAAGAATAGGGAATTGCGAACCACATGCTGGTTTATTTGGTAAGAAAGGCAGACACGACAATTCCCATCTGAGCTAACTGGATTGGGAAGATGTGGAGTCGGAAGTGCCCATCTTGCGCTCGGTCTAGCATCCATACCGCTGACTCAGCTTCTGAAAGTAGATTAGCTTGGCTTAATTTCGCCGTTTTTCCCCAACCGTCACCGAGAATATTTCTGACCTTCTGCCAAGAAGCAGGCAACCAACAAGGCAACCGGGCCTGTCTGCCTAACGTCGACTTCTCACAATCGTCCGCCCTACTTTGGATGCTGCGCCCCTCGTGCCTCGTGGTTACTCGTCCTCATCCCTCCTCACCCGTTGCCTTTTCCCGCCTGCTGAATGACTTGAATCTCTTTCCTTCCCTCGTCCATGTCGCCTCGTTGATTTCATCGCTCTTCTTCCATTTCGCCCGTTGTCTTTCAGCGATTATCGTCGCGCGACTGCATCATTGTTTTCTCGTCTGGCAATCCTTGTCTACAACCTGGAGAGCCTAAGTCGCCGCGTGCTCTTCCGGCCCCGAACGACCCACCACCGACCGGCGTCCAAACGCTATCAAGGTCCCTTATTCACCACGGTCCATCGGCCTCCGTTTCGCCTGACCTACTCGTTCGCAAACTCTGTCGATCCTGGTTGCGCCGACTTGAAGATTCCCGCATTTACTTGGACTGCTGCCTGTTGAGACGACCGACGTCCGATTCCGAGTCAACTACCCGTCAACTAGAGCGACGCATCGGGTATTCCCTGCCAACATTTGCAAGTTGGTCTACCTTTCTGTTTTCCCCCTGGGCACCTAGCAAATGTGCCTTGTAGAGGGTTCGGACCAGTGTCCCATCCATAGGCTCTACTTTTCATCGAAGGAAATGGTAACTGTCTCTTCCGTGGATCTCGCATAGTTTGTATCCACAGTCTCGATGCCGCGGTCCAGCAGGTCATCGGAGCTGCGATGGCCCCACTAACATGGAGCATATCAACAATTGACTAACACAAAGTCTCATCACTAGAAGAAACATAGCCATGTATCACCGGCAACAAGCAGGCTCGGTAGGCAACTCTAAGCCTTACTTCTTATATGCATCCATCCTCAGGCGCGATGCTGACTTTTTGGAATAGTCGCTGCCAACCCCTGATAACGCCAGTCGATCTCCATCGGATTCTATCGACCTCTCTCCCATCGAGGCCATGGCCAGGCCAATGGAAATGGATCAGTTCAACAAATCCAGGCTGTCTTCGGACCCCATGGCTGCAAGCCGTGGCCTGAACACTCCTCCCGTGCCGTATGGCTTGATGAACTTCTATGCCGGTGATGATTCGCCATGGGTTGGATTCAATATGCCGGCGTCCGCATCTGCTCAACCTAGTCACCACATGAACCCCGTGGATGTTAGTAGGAATGCCCCCGCGTTTGCTAGTTGGAGAAGCAACGGACAGCCATCAGAGTGCGGCACCATCCCCCAGGCCTACCTGCCCTCCGACTCTGGCTATGAAAGTAGAGCGAAACACAGCATCGTCGATGACAGGTCCGTCTACGAGGAAAACACGGAAACCCAAAGCCTCGCCGGACATATGATGGAATTCAACCCTTTCCCACTCTCAACGTCCACGTTTCGCGACGCTCACGTCCAAGCGTGGCCACCAGCACCGCCAGCACCAGTACAGACCGGCCCTACGGACAAGTTGATATGCCCAGATTGTCAAGCTCTTTGTAAGACAAAGTCCGAGCTGAAGTGAGTTGCGATCCAGTTCTGGTCGTCGCCGTCGTTGTCGATGTTTGTCCTTTCATATACTGACACTCGGGACAGCAAACACAACCAACGACATCGCAAGGCATTCAAGTGTGAGGTTCCTGGCTGCACTCGTAAGGAAGGTTTCGGTACTCCGAACGATCTCGATAGACACAAGAGCAGTGTGCACCCGGAGCTTGATTCGGGTCCTCGTTGGCGCTGCAACATCAGTGCTCAATGCCAAGCAAAAGACAAGTTATGGCCTAGAGCTGACAATTTCCGACAACATCTGAAGCGTGTTCACAATCAGCCTGTCTCAGCAGACGATGATCTCAATCAATATCTCTGGCAGTAAGTTCCCGTTCGCCTCCATCCCCATCCCTTGACTCACGTGCGTTGCCGTACGCATCCAATCAACGAGTCTTCTTCACAATCACGGAAATCTGTGGTCGAGATAAATAGGCTGATCACGTTAGCAGCCCATCCCAAAAGCCCCAAGAAACGTCGCGCACTGTGCAAGAAGATCTTGAAGGCGTAGGATCGGAGCTGTTCAACTTCGGCAGTGATTCTCAGGGATGGGAAATTTCCTCTCCGGAGCAGCCGATGGAAATGGATGATCTTCTCGTCGACCCATCCTTGACGAACATTGACGAGACCAGCAACATTCCGCTTGTTCAGAACCATCATGCTTTTGTCCAGCCGACGCAGATTTCTAGGCCACCATCAACAATCAAGCCCCTCCTTCCTGGCGGACGTACGCGTGATGGTCAGGCCCACATTACTGTGGATTTTCCCAAGAGCCTTGACGCTTGCTCTGATGATCTGAAGGAGTCCCCCATGGATTCCGTCAATGCCATGGATTGCGATCTTGCCGCTAAAGCTCCTGAATCGGAGTCTGAAATCGAAAGGGCCAGCTCACAGAAACCAGCTGCAGGGGCCTGGTCATCTGCAGGCGAGGTTCTCAACGAACAAGACGCCCTCAGAATCCTGGAAAAGCTCCCCAAGGAGGTTATTGCAAAGTTCTTGAAGGGCCAGTCCAATCAGAAGCCGTCACATGAGCCAATAACCAGCATCGAAGCCCATCGTTGCACTAAATTAAGCTGCAGCAAGACCTTCAATCGCAGATGTGAGTTGAAGAAGCACATGAAACGTCACGATAAGCCTTACGGATGCACCTTTTCTGGCTGCTCGAAGAGATTTGGCAGCAAAAACGATTGGAAGCGCCACGAAAACAGCCAACACTTCCAGCTTGAGGTCTGGAAGTGCAGTGAGAAGCGCGCCGACGACGACAACACGCAGACAGAGACTACTTGCGGGAAGGTTTGCCACCGTCGCGAGACCTTCCGCAGCCACTTGCAAAAGGAGCACAAGATGGACGATGCCTCACAAGTTGACAAGGCCCTCGAAGATTGCCGCGTCGGTAGAAACTGCGAGTCTCGCTTCTGGTGCGGCTTCTGTGTAAAGATTATCGAGATCACCAAGAAGGGTGCGAATGCTTGGACTGAGCGTTTCAACCACATTGATAACCACTACGCCGGCCGCGACAACGTGGCCAAGAAGGACATCTCTGAGTGGAAGAATGTCGACCCAGAGCTGCACGAGATAGACTTCGCGGGCTCAGTGGACGATTCGAGTGACGCCGAGTCGTGCGATGAAGCCACTGCTTCACATAAGCCCTCTGGACTCGTCATGAAAAGCATCATGACAAGGAAGAGAGGTGCAGATGACGACAACGACGAACGGGAGCCAAAACGCTTGAAGGACGCCCGTATCACACAGAGGTGGAACTGCGTACGTGCTCTCCCAATGTACCTGCCGCAAACCATGCTGACCATTGAATAGTGCAATTGCTCTCACGATTTTGACATTAAGACAACCCCTGCATGCATGGAATGCTCACACCAACGGTGCACCCGCTGTGAGGAACAACAAGTTCTCGTGCGGTAGGATGCTGGCATGTTGGACGGATTGTCTCTTCTCAGAGCAGTTGTCACTTCTACGATATCCTCTTTCTTTCCATCTTTCTCTTTATGATCAACGACTATAGGATTCTGCTATAGCAAGGCTACGCCTCGGACGGAGTTACGGGGAACGTCAAGAAGACGCAGGGAAGGAATGCCAAGGACGGCATCGACGGGAGCTCGAGGACACAAACAAACAAAACATACAGATATGATATCCCCTTTTGGACAGAATCACATTGCGCAAGGAGCATCCCTCGTTGCCTTTAGAAAGCACCGACAAGACTCTGGCTGGCAGTGCCCGCCAACGTTACATGAACCTCTGCAGCATTTCGTATTGTGAAGATGATTAATACAACATGATCCTACCTCAGAAGATGTAGTCACAAACAATATATGCAAGCGAGACAACCAAGCTGTCAGAAAATCGTCCGACCGCAGGATGCCGCGGAGCCAGGTTACGGTCACCGCAACCACGCAGGCCCTGCCGTCCCCCATCCGACTTCCCACGTGCCCTTGCCCCTTCGTCTCCCACATTGAAGGAAGATCAGGAAGCGCAAGCAGAGCCCCTGGGTGCCCTGACATCCCATCGCACATATGTCGACGGGAGGCGCGGGTACGATTTCCAGGAAAGAAGCACCGAGGGAGGGTCCGGAGCACGACGACCCAACCAACCGCGAGCCGCGCCACCATCCCATCCCATCCCATCCCCAAAAAGTCTTTGACGGTAGTGTCCCGAGACCTGGGGTTCTGGATTTCGTTTCTTCTTTGGCTTGGGAGGGGGGCGTTTCCTTGGTTCACGGACCGGTGCCTAGAACGTCCTTGGCCCTGGGTGCCAGCCATGGTTTTGGAGTCGCGGAGACGCTCTCTCTCTCTCTTTCTCTCGCACCCACACCCACTTACACACACCCACCCACTCACACACAAAGTGGTTATAACACAACCATCTATTATTCCTTCCCAGCCCCTGGGTCGTCATTTTGGGGGCCGGGTCAAGGTCAAGCCAGGCGGAAAGACACAGTCACTAATTGGCTGGATGTCCGAAAGTCGAACCACCTCTCTCTTGTGGCATGGCATGAGGTGGCCGACGCCGTACTACTACATTTGGGGGCCGGAGAAACAGAGGGGTGGTAAGGAGGCAGGGCTGGCAGGGCTGGCAGGGAAGAGATGCGACTGGTAGGCAGGGCAGGGCAGGCAAGCCGTCAGCAGTGCGCATGCAAACATGCTTCAGATCAAAAGGCGCATTCGATAACGATGAGGCTATGCAGTTTGTTTTTGTTCCTCAGCCACCCCACCCCTCCCGGCGGTGGTTTCCCAGCAGCAGCCAGGGTGTTGCGGATGTCGGTGATGATGTCCATCGGGGAGGTGAGGGGGAGCCAGGGACCGGGGAAGAGGAGGAGGGAGAGCCAGAGAGCGGTTATCAGGTATCAATGGATTTGCTGCAGGCCCTGGTGGTGCGGCTGAAGAGGATGTCCTCATCACGTTTGACGGCAGTTGAAGATTGGTGGTAGCCGGTGTGATGGTATCATGTTGGAGGTGGACTCGCAATTTCCGGTTCAACTCCCGTGTTGGTACGGAGAGTTGGTCGTCGGGGCCTAGAGGATGTTGTCAACCATTCATGGTTCGACAACAACGATGCTGCGGCCGCCGATGCGGGCGGGACCTGACATGTAAGCTTGAATGCTGGGACAGAGCCTGGGGTTACGGTCTCTCGGCAAGGGGAAGCGAGTGTCAAGTCGAGGGCCAGAATCGACCACCGGGACAAAATGTAGGTGCCTTGATGACACTTTGAAGAGGGATCAATTGGCGTCAGCCTGTTGATCTCGTCGGCGGGTCTCAGGAGAGACCACTTTTTCAAGACCGGCCATATCGCGGGCGTGAGAGCCAAGCCATGAATACCATCGATCTGTTATTGAACGAGTTGGGTGGTTAAGCCAAAGGTGCGCTAGGATCTCAATCCTAATCTCTAAGGCGCGAAAACATCCTTACACCGTGTGTACTCATCATTTGTCATCCGTTGTCGTTGGTTCGCAAAAGACCAGCTTCGTGTAATGGGTTATGTACGGAGTAGTTGCGGAGTAGCCCTGCCACTGGCTGCCAGTATGTTGGGCCCTGGTGTGATGAATGCAACGCGCTTCTGCTGGGTCCGTTGATGGAGCGTGAAGGCCCAACTAAGGCTTGCATATGTATCGGCCACTCCGTGCGGCACGTATGTTCCAGGCCAGAAGGATTGTTGAAAAGAAGACAACTTTGGAGGAAGATGGGTTCTAGTACCGTTACCGAGATGCTGGAATCCAACACGGGCGTGTTTTCTCTTCCTGGCAACTCTCCTGTGTTTCAACCACGAAGCGAGGCCATTTGGTGACCCGGACAACACCACACCCCGCCTTACTGGGCGGTAGCTGGCCGGAAATCCAAGATCTGTGTCTTCCAGTGATCTGCCGACCTTTTGAGGGCAGGGCTAACGGGCCAGAAGGATTGGTCTCAGAGCAAGACACGCAGGTATCCAGCGACACAGTCCACACAGGAGACTTTGACGCCATTGGCGACAACCAAGTCGGGGTGTTGGGTCGTGCCCGCGCATTTGTGCGTTGAATGTTGGAATTACCGCGCACTCCGCGCGAGTTTGCGCGCACCAGTCTCGACCAGGTTCGCGCACTTTGCACCATGGGTAAAGACACACACACCCCAGACCATGCGACGACGACGCGTTTGATCTTGATATGAGACATATGCCCATGATGATCGGTTGAAGACATTTGCAAACATGCCCAGCGAGCATGCTTGGCTTTCCAGACTCCACAAGATCCTGACATCTATCGCCCTTGCAGCCGATGATCCATGGGTAGTGGGTGGGCTGGCTTCCGCCCGCATCGTGGTTGCGCCTACGCTGCGCGGTCCTTTGACAACCTGGTAATATGGTCCTGGTTCGAAGGATGGATCAGGTGCCCAGGGCTCAGACGGAGGCAACGCTTGGGTGAGGGGGGTGCTGCAGAGGTCAAAATAGCCGCCTGTCTTGCCAGGACTGCCGCACCTCTTTTGATCTTTGCGTTCAGCTATGCCTCGACCGGCCAATGGCAGTGAGATTGACTGGCCCAGCTCCAGAGGTTGGGGTCCAAAACCAGGGGCCTTTTATCGCAGCAGAGATGAAGCTGCTAGAGAAAGAAAGGTAAGTCAGTCCAGCATTGGACGCCGAGATCGCGTGGGTGACCAGCAATCCGGCAGGCAAGCCTACTTCGTGTTAGTCCCGTCTGCCCACCCAATTGTGGATGAAGCGCAGGCGAGCCCCTTGGCTGCTTGACGCGGGAAAGATGTGGCGGCGATTTGGAAAGTAGCGAAAATGTTCTTCAGAAGTACCTGCCGGGGAAGTAGGGAGCATGGTCGCATCGGTTCGCCAGATGAAAATGATAAGTCAGGTGGGAGAGCAGGCCTAGGTCTGCACGTGGCAATTAGTATGGAGTCCATATCAATATCAATCGCTGGTTCTTGCTCCGCGCGCAAATGTGCGGGCGGTCGACTTGGGGCGCTCAGAATGGCTTCGGCTCCAAGTGCAACGTCAACGGTGCAACAGGATATTATCGGTGATAACGTCTGCTCTGCAAGTCTCCACGACGAAGCATGCGCAGGTCTTCTCGCGAGACCGACAGTAGACAAGGGTACCGTAACCCAGGAGCTGCAAGTGGTAGGGTTGATTTGCTGACTTGTCTGCCTGATCCCATGGGTCGACGGTTCCTCTGATGGTCGCCGGCCCCCTCTATTCGCACAGGATTCAGCCACTAAACAGGGGCGGAAGCAGTACCCAGCCAACGAGGACCCAGTAAGTCGGAAGGAGGATTTAGGGCATGATAGGTCGTAAAAACGGATGGATCAATGGCCTGTCTTGGCCTGTCTGTAGGTAGTGATATTCGTACGTACGAATTCGTACTTCGTACCTTGCTCTTCGGGACTGACGGGCTTGTTGTGGTGCTAAGCGTTTATAGCTTCTGAATAAGGCACGGGTTGCAGGAGTGGAAATGGGGACACACGCCATTAATGCAGTGAAAGGGTGAAGACGCTGCGCGCTGCAAGAGGAGTGACGAAGCGGCGGTGGAGGTAACAATTTGGGAGCTTGGTGCCGCAGAACGGGACCCCGACTCCCCGTTGCGGTCGAGGCCGTTGATGCCACCCAGGCCCTAACCGTGTCGAGAGATTCGACACGACGACTTTTGCATGTTGACGCGCCCGTTGAGGCATTGATAGGCATGGAAAAGAGGCCCGTCATCTCCATTACGGAGGTATCCGTCGTTTAAGGAGACCATTTGGGCGATTGAGACCTCATTTGGTACTGTTGAGGGTTCGTCGGGGTGCTGTCGGGGTTTTGAACCGCAGCTTCTCCTGTTCCTCGCTCGCAGAGTCCGTGTCCGCGTGGGCACCAGTGGGTTCCGTTCATCTTCAATCCGTCCGGAACGGGGAGCAGCGAATACAGCGTCTGGTATGGATGCTGGACGGTTGGCGCGTGGCCTAGCAGGGGAACAAGAGGTTGAGGTCGCACAAGGGCGACAGGGGCTGGCTGTTGGACATGGCCCAAGAGGCCGAATCGATTGCCTCAATGGGCGTCGTAGCCAGGGCCCGAACCGGGACTGCACGGGGCGCTAGACGGGACGGACCTCAGATGGTGGAGGAGGTTTAATGAATGTCCTTTGAACAATGACAGGCTACAGCTCAGCGCCTCGGCGCATCGTGAAGGTCCAATGGGGCGGGTTGGCGGTGATGGCTGTCTCGTATGTACTTTGGAAAAGAATTCGTCAGATGGATGGGATGGCCTGGACAGCAGAGTATCGTACCCGAGCGATATGCAAGATGGGGGCGGTCGGCGACCGGCAGGGAAGAGAAGTGAAGTTG